GGGGGGGTGCTAGCTTTGCGTCTCCCTGGTCTGCTGGGGGGAAGCAGCTAGCGCGGGGTTGCCTCACCCCGTTTGTAAGTAGGGATCCGATGTAAGTCGGATCCATGTAACCCGGGGACTGCCTGTATTCAACAATTTGTCCTTACAATGTAATGCATGTTCCAACCAACTACAAAAGATTCTAAAAATAAAACATAATTTGATGTTTAAGAATGCAAACACAGTTTTGAACTTTTCCATATAACTATCTCAGTATGAGAGAAAAATGGATCACACTGTGTGGTTTTTTGTATTTCAGTAAATATAAACATGTAAAAATTGTATGGTAATGTAGCTCAAATAGTCTTTGCAATATTTGTGTGACTACTAAGATCAGATGAAATGCTAATGAGCAGCTAGGAAAAAGTCTAGTTGTATTTGCAATTACAAAGCAAAAATTAATTTTAAAATACATGTGTACATATGGATATTTTGGCCAAACAAAATTTCCAACGAAGATCTACAGTATCAGTGTAAACAAGAAGACATGGCCACTATAATTATGAAAAGACGCTGGCGATGGATAGGTCATGTGTTACGAAGAGAAGACGGATCTATTACGAAAATTGCACTCCACTGGAAACCAGATGGGAAGAGAAAGAGAGGAAGACCAAAAACAACCTGGCGCCGAACGGTAGAACAAGAATTAAAAGACCATCATCACACTTGGGGAACAATAGGCGCTTTGGCCTGCGACCGACAGAAGTGGAAGGACTTTGTTGCTGCCCTATGCGCCATTGGCGTAATGGGCAGTAAGTAAGCATCTTTTGAGCACACCTGTTATTTTGAAATATAACAGGCCCCCTGTTCCTATATACCTCATTCCACGAGGAGTAAGGGACGCTTTTGGAATAGTGATTTGTTTCAAAATAAGTGCTGTGTAGACAGCACCAAATTTCAAAATAAACTATTTCTAAATTGACTCCAAAGAAGCTATGCAACTTGTGTTGCTCAAATTGCATAGCTTATTTCGAGGTCTGGGTGTAATGTAGATGCACCCTTAATGTGCTTCATTAGATTAGTATATTTTTAAAAACTTTTTATAAATGTGTGAAGGAAGGTCAGGGTTGGATTGCATTAGAATCAGGAAGGAAAGTAATAGATATTATTTCATATCTGCCATAGATCAGCACTGGACAAAAGTCATTAGCATTTGAGTCATCAGGATTTCTTAATTACTTATGTAAAATGCATTGATTGACTCAGTTCAGTTGCAGGTGGAAAGGAACCCACAAAACTTACCCTTACTTTTGAAATGTGTTGTCAGTCTCTGCTGAGATGTGTTTAGAAGTCAAGTACTTAAAGGCTATTGAAACTGCATTATCCTCTGACTTAAAGATGGCCCTTCTAGGTCAGAATTATGCAACAATGTTAGGAAGTTTATAGTACCACTGCCTGTATTGTAGCATGTGCATACAGTATTAGTTTCCAAGGCTGTCTATCCAGTTTTGAAAAAGAATGAAAGGAGATAGAAATAATTATTCCATTTGTTTTGTAAAGGCTTCGTGAGTGAGTTTCCTCAACAACCATTATCTGCATTCCTCAATAGAAGTACAGGGCACCTAACAAGAGTACAAAAGTACTCCAATGTAGGGCATCATATTTTCTGTATGTCATTGTATAAGAGCATTTCAGTCCATATTGCAAGTTTGTCTCCAGAGTCCTCCACAACTAAGAAAAGATAGTGGCAACAAGTTGAAAATATTCAAGATACCATGAGTTTGCAAACATTTTCCAACCTGTTAACCACAGGAATCTGGAGAAATTACTCAAGCAGCCAGACAAGCAATAAAGCTGATAGGTGATATTATATGCAAAGAAATCCACTTTAAAGTTTAAAGTTATTGATCTAGTATATACATGAGAGAGTTTGTCTTTCTGTTTGTTTGTTCAGAACTCCTCCTAAACAGTAAGAGCTAGGACCACCACATTCAATATACAGTTTTCTGTTATCATAACTTAGCGCACTGAAGTGTGGCTGGATCCGGCCCCTAAGCCTTAGGATCCCCACCCCTGCAGCAAATTCACCCTGCAACTTAATGCAGCTCCTGGAGATGTTTGGCCTTCTCAGGGAAAAGTTATATGACTAGGCTCATCAGGAAGAACTTCTGGATGTGAGCCTGTTGCTCCCAGTCACTCTAACACCTCCAGAGCAAAGAAGAGCAGTGCAGTCAGGGGCATAGGACAGGCTGGAGCGTGCAAACACTGTTCTGCCACTAGCCACACTTCTGTGCACTTTGATAAGGTCAAGGTTTGGTTGTGCCAGGAAAATGGGATGTGCCTGGAATAGAATTGCTTCTCAGAAAATCATAGAGAAAAGAGAAAGAATCACTAGGCAGGTGAAAGGGGCTGGCTGACAGCACACACACACACACACACACCCCATTCAGAACTGCCCCAGTCCCAAGCCTCCCATCCCCAGGCACCCTGTCAGAAGGGGAGGGGAGGTGACCCTTCTGTCCCCTCCCCCCAGTGTATACAGGAACACTGCTGGCT